ACTTATATGTTCATGACTGAAATGCATGATTTGGTTTGTTCCTCTTTCAGTTTTCTGTGTTCATCCAACAGCAGACTGCCTGAAAACATACTGACCTCATGATCTTTCATTTACAGCTGACAGGTCAAATATTTATTTTGACCTTCAGTTCTGTCCAGAACCACTTATTCCAGAAACTGAAGAATGAATTTCCTAGATTTTTAATGACCTTTCTGACCTTTCTGATTATTTTTCAGTGAATTAAATATAAAATTGTAATAAGTGGATTGCCATAATATCATTTTCCATTCTCCAAGTTTTCCATATTTCTAACCCTCAGAGAAAACTGTCATTTGCACACATTATAGTCTTATAGCAAGGTTAATATGGGTAGCTACAGCTAAAATTATGATTTTATGCCATTCCAAGGCAATGGAATATATAGAATATTAGAATATTAGTCACTGAGATCAAATGAAAACTCAAAGGAAATATTGTTGGAAATAACTTTGTCAGCTTGGTCGAATTTGTAATTTCAAGAAAGGAATTCTGACATATGAAACATGACTGTGAGATACCTTCTTTGACAAAGCGATGTGCTTCTGTTGTGTTTATTCTGAACTTTAATCTTGCCTCTGCCATACTAATATAAAACAGAAACACAACTCTCAATCTAATAAGAAGCTAAACTGAAACATAAAATAATAACGAGCAAATCCCAATCTGGAAAAAAAAAACTTGAAAAAACTAAAACTAAAAAACTTGATTGCTCCTAGGGTGTAATGAAAAGGCTAAATGTGGGAAGCAAGACACTTTTAATGTGCAATAAAATGCTGAGTGTGTGTACTTGTCATACTTTCCGAAAATGTGCAATTGTGTGGTTCAATTTTTGAGAAAACCTCTGAATAAGTATTTTTTGTTTACCTTCTGTTTTATGTCTTATGCATTCCTTTCCTGCACTGTGAGGCAAACGGTGTAGCTTTTACTTTCGAAAGAGGAAGAACTGCGAGAGAACATGTGACACTTTGCTCTTAAATAATAGCAACAAGGAAACGCAGTCAGACTGGGTTTCCGCGCAGCAAAGATGAGTCCGACTAATCAAGGCAAGTGAAACACTTTCCAGCAAGACTTTAATAGCTTTAGTAGAGATATTAATGGCTGGTAAAACAAAAAGGGGGACATAAAACGCTTGATGTTTCAGTTTGCTTTTACTTTCGTTTTTGTAGTCAAAGTCAAAGACTTTTCTTTGTTCAGGCTGCAGGTGTGTTCAACGATAGAAATACACTGTAACCTTGTTATAATGTCATCACAGTGAAGTAAAGTGTGTCTATAATGTTTAATAATTGTCGAAAAAGAAAATATCCAAACACACTAGGTGTATTTTTAGTATATTCTTATGTAATTACACCATAGAAATGAAGGCTGTGTTGTACAACTACGCTGTAACATTTGTTTAGTAAAACAATTTAAAAGTAATATAAAACCGTAGTTCTTCGTTTTTGTATTTGTATTTATGAAACTCGCAACAAAACGAAGCGGAAAAAAGAGCCAGTCAAAGTCACTTTTGGGTAAAAGTCCAAGTACAAACTGAGTAGATGGCTTACTTAAATTGCTTTAAATCGCATAAATTAGTATGAGAAGCCTGGTGAGTTATAAATTCTGGTTAAAAAATATTATATATATATCATATTACATTTAGGTTATACACTGAGGGTATTGTGTGTATTGTTTGAAGAGGGTCCTCTTCCCAGTTGAGAACTGTACCAGGTATAACGGGTGGAGCTTCATATTCATAGCTGTACTTTTTGCTTGTTCATAAGTTTCACTTCAGGTCTTGTGACTGTGGCGTCATTTTGAAAATTTTGCACAGCCTTAAATATGTGGAAGTGATACTTGTGACTTTTCTTAACACAGAGACCCTAAAGACACAGTGATCTGTGCAAAAAGTTGTGTTTTTTTTAAAAGTAACTTTTGGTATTAGTGATGAGAATTCCGGCTCTTTTTAGAGAACCGGCTCTTTCGGCTCGCCTCACTAAAAAAAGCCGACTCTTTCAGCTCCCAACCGAGTCTTCAGGTTGTTTTGTTGCTTTAATTAATTTATTATCAACAACAATATAAAATTATGCACAAAAGAAATTACTAATGTAAAAAAACGTGGTTTTATTTATTTATATGTTTACATATAAATATATAAGGTGACCCCTAGAGACAAAGCTTGTACAAACTCCAAAAAGCACTAAAAACTCTGAAGCATTTACAAACTCCAAAACACATTTCTAGTGTTAACTGAACTTCCAAAACAGAGATACCTAGATCACTTAGCATATGTGTATTGTTTGTGTATTTATACACAAGCACTCATATATATTCAAATAATTAAAAAAAAAAAAAGTTCATTTACCTGTTACTACCACACACCAAATCCAGTGTTGGTACTTC